GAGGAGAAGAACCTTTCTTCCCACATAGTTGATGTCTGTGTTGGTTACTTATGTTTGTGTGACAAGTGTATTCAGCATTGGCAGCTTACACTGTAATTCTCACAACCTGAAGACTCTTGGCCTTCTATATGTATGAACTGACTCCATTTCATGGATTTAAGGTGGATTTAAGGTGAAGTTAAACATTATCTATCGTGCTTGATCTCTGATGGCTCTTGATAAATTCTTCCATGCCAGAATGTAAACACCTAAAACTGACTTCATGATCTAAAACGTTTTGACTCTTAACTTGCAAAGTCTGATACTCATAATTGTGGTAGGTTATAAATGTAATAAATAAATAAATAAAATAAATAATGGCTAAGATATAAAGGCAAATCCTGTGAGATGTGTGTTTCTGGCATTCACCAGTTACTCACCAGAAACGTTAGGTCTTTATTCTATTATTCCTTTTTACCACCTTTTCTACCATTTACCAGTACAGTAAATATTAAGTTTTATTATGACAGGATGCAAAATGCCCAGATTATAAACAGTATATTTGCTTTTCAACACATATTATCAATATATTAACAGCATTTCAGTATTGTAGAGCTTATTGTACAGAAAAACCTGGATCAAATATTTACGTTTGGTATTCCTTCCTATAATTGATCTTTTAGTTAGTTTCCCCTTGCTTTGGGTTTTAGGGATTTTGGTGGAGAAATTGACTGAACACCACTTCATAGGATTTAGAACATTTTCGTGGTCTTTGACTATAATCATAGTTATGCAAAAAACACATTTGTTCAGTTTTTTCATCTATGAGGCCTCTGTTAAGCATTTGCATTAAGACCCAACCCAGTTTTTTGTATGTGCTCTGCCCATGGTAGACCTTATAACATAACAGCTTGGTAAGCTTTACATTACTGTGATTTTTTTCATAGAATTCTAGAATAAGAGTAAATAACTTGCATCCACAGGTTGAATATGGCCCTCCACAGCCTATTTGCATCCTCACAGCATCTTGAAATTGTGCTGATGTAAGCTGCAAAATTGGCATTATTTTTTCAAGTTTGTTTTTTTAAAAAAGCAGCTATTGAGGTGGGGGTTGAGGGTGGGAATGGGAATGGGAATGGTTTGCGCTCCCATTTTAACTTCTGAAAATCCTTTAAAAAACACAAAAAAAAATCTGGCTTCATGAATAGCAAGAAGAACCAGCTGAAGCTGGAAGCACAAAACTTTGGGAGAAAAATGCTTCCTAATTATTTTGGTGGTTTTGGTTTTCATCTGTGTTTCGGCAGAGTTGGAGGACCTTGGCAATGCTGACAGAAAGCACATTTAATTGGTTAATTAACTGCAAATACGTAACAGTCAGAGACTGATTTGTAATGCCATTCTCTTAGTAAAGAGTATCTTCTTTTTGCTGCACTAAGCAGGGCATGGTATAACATCAAGCTGACAAATCTACTTTAACTAGACTTTTTCACATTCACATTGATGCTGGTTGGCAGTTATGGAATTTGCAGTCCCAATACATGTGGAGAAGATCAGAGCAGGATCCAGATTAGACTCAGGGTGTCCATGAGGGATCATTGTGATCATACACTGTAACCACTGTTAAATGGGCAGTTTAACATTTATCCAGTTACTACCCTATTCATAATGTGAGCATGGACACACTAAGATTGTATTTAGGGTAGGATATGACCTTAAAGTAGTGTGTATGTGTGTGGGGGTGTATGCATGGGTGTGGCGGCTTTGGTCTTGGCTGTTGTGCAGAACCTAGTGTTGAGGAAAAGCAGGTATAATGCAAAGTGTGGAGCCAAGCAAAGTGAGGACCTCATGCTGTGGTGGAGGTGCTGGTGGTGACAGGGGCGTCCCATCTGTAGAGCTAGCAGCGAGAGAGCGAGAGAGCACACTGCTATTTTTCATGCGGAAAAATTAAGTCTGTGCAACCTCTTTCCTTTGCCAATGTCTTCAGATTCTTCTCATGTTCCTGCTCACATCTAGAACAGATTTTAGTTTCTGAAGGCTGCCCCAGTTGCTCCTGCAAGAAGGAACAACATTTTATTCTCTTATGCTCCCAAGCACAATAATAGAAACTATCTGCTAAAAAAAAACAAAGAGGGAGGGAGGATTGTCAGAAGAACAGGTCGTGGTTCATATGTATGCCATTTGTAGGATCTGATGCACTCTGTGAAGGGGTCTGGGGGGTTAATTGTGTTACTTGATTGGTACTTATGGAAACAGTATTTGAGTATTTACTGATTTAGGCCATGCACGGTGCCAGGGTAGAAAATGCAAACAAACTGGTTCAAGTCAAAGATCACTTTGATAAGGCTAATGCTTCTGAGCAAGGACCAGCATTCCTTTTCTTCTTCAGAGGAAGGCTCTCTGAAAGCTTGACTTCAGGTAGAAAGGAAGTTACGAAAGGTTCTTCCTTTTTAAAAACCTGTTATTCAGGATGCCATTTAAATTCCGTCAAGTCCGATATGAAGAATGAAGTCATTTAGTTACCCAACTGACAAACTGAGAAGTAGTAGGTGGGATTTTAGGCAATCCTTTCATTTTTCACCAGGCAATCACATAGGTCTAAAAATGTCTCTCAGCTTTTATGTCAAAAGATCCAAGTGACCACAAAGATAAGGTTATATTTAAACTTGCTTAGGCTGGCATAATTGTGCCTACAATTTCTAGTATTTCCAACCAGCTGCTTCTGATAGGGGATAATGGAAATTGTAGTTTGACACTTGTGGAAGGGCCAGATTAAGGAAGGCTGTCTGATCAGAGATCATAGCACAGGTTGAAAGCTGAATTCTACACTCTGATATGTATTAGATCTTTGTGGCATTTTGACTGACTGGTACCATCTAAGCAAGGATTTCCTACTGAAGTGGGTAGAATTGAGTTTATTAAATGAAATTTTATTTCCACCCAAAAATAGCATAATGTTCCCCTCCTCCCTTGGTTAAAAATAAATTTATCAAAGCTTTTTACAAGGCTTTTCCTCTTGTAAGATTTTTTCTTAGTTTTCCCTTGTTCCAGACAGCCTGTTAAAAAAAAATTAGTGCCATTTAAAAATAAAGAACAAACCACTCATAAAATAAAGGACAGGGTGTTAATTAAAGGATGTTTAACATTTTGTCATGTTCCTCTGCCGCTTGTATGTGTGCTTCAATGTCAATATATCATGAAATGTTAGCTGTGTAGAACTGTAGTTCTAGTGTCCTTGTGTTGTGTATTATGTGGCTTGTAGGAATTTATTTTATTTATTTACTAATGCATTGAAATACTCATCATTTTTGAATATTTGGATTTCTGGCATCCAGTTGTGTTGAAAAACTTGAATCTTTGATAGATTTGTGGTTCAAAGCTTGGGTCTCCATTATCAACTCCAACTAGTCCCTTGAATTGGGGGCTGTTCTGTGTTATGATAGTGGCATAAGAACTACTGTAGATAGTAATTCAATCCCATAGTGCTTTCCCAGTGCCTGGGTACAAAATTCACTTGAGTAGACCCAGGTCAATGTCAGGGTGGTGCTGTCATCCTGGAGGCTAGGCAGTGTTTGCAATGATGTGTCGCACTGCTAATCTAAAAAAGTACCTCTGCAGGAGATTGCTGGCAGAAATGGCCACATTGCCATTTGCAGCTGCTAAAATAGTGGAGTGTTATTTTCCCTATCACAATTAAGAAAGGAAATGCTTTTTCTCAAACATGCAAGGAATTATGAACAGATAAGTGATTTGAGGCTTTCTTCTAACAGCGTGTAGTCACGTAGCAAAACTGACAATATTTGGAAATAATTGCAGTCGGAGTCTTCTGTGCTCTCAGATAGCTCCTAGAATTCAAGGTGGAGATTGGGAACCAGAATCTCAGAAAAATATGATTTTCTCTAGTGAGAGGAAGGTTTATGCATCAGAATTGCTCACTTAACCCATTTTAATGCAAAATAAATGGCTTTAGCTTAACTCACATATTTTTCTTCTGCTTGTACCCAGCAAATAGTTATTCTTCTTCAATTAATTATCAATGTGCAAACAACTGGACTTAGAAATTATTCATGCCATAGCTTCCAAAGTGTAAATCTTATGGCATGGTGGAGCCTGGAGATGAAATGCTGGAGGTTTCAAATCTAGTCTCACAGATGTCCCTTGTGTCTACACACCCTGGCATTACCTCTTATCCTGATGTAGCTGCTTGGTAGTTACTGCTGATGCTACCTATCATCCACGAGAGTACCTTACATTCTCCACCTAACCCTCATGTGTAAGATGAGAGGTCCACAAAATGTGTTCCATTACTGGAAAGTGAAAAAGTAAAAAATGAAATTTCTAAAATGTAATCACCCGGCCATGTATCCTTGCGAGAGAGACCAAACTCACAAGAGATAAACAAAATCAAACTATTATTATGGTTGGTTGCACAGTCAGGCAGATGTTTAGACTGGATTTGGCATTTTTATCCACTTATCGGGTCTTTCTCAAGGACTTGGGATAGGCAGATGTTGTTGTTTGATGATGTTAAAGGTATTGTCGCAGGAATATAAGCTGTTCCAAGTAAAGCTGCCTTTTGCAATTGATCGATGGTGATGATATTATTATTATTATTATTATTATTATTATTATTATTATTATTATTGATACACTATAAGAAACTTCTTTAAAATGCAAACAATCAGCGCTGAAAATAAAAAATCTAAATGCAGATGTATTGCTCCAGAGAGATTACAGGCTGTTGTAAGTCCACTACAAATTGCTCAATTCTTGTGCAAATTCTCTGTAAAAGGAGAGATGGGGCACAGTTACAAATTAAGGTTATAGATCATAACAGATCTGGAAAAAAACACATCTTCTCATGCCCAACCTGAGGATAGGCATAAATGGCTAAGGTACACAGAATTTCTTAGCTCCTTCAGGGAAATAATAACAGGATACAATAAAGCTTAATTAGCACATTCAGGAAAGAAATAAACAGTTTAGCACAGAAAGAAATTGAGCATTTCTGCTTTACCATTTACCTATTTCTGTGAAGTGTAGAAGGTCCCTGAAACAGGAAAAAGTGAGGAAT